ACAGATAGCTATTATTTTCTCAGTTCTGTTTTCTGCCTCTTGCGGTGGATAGCTGTGAGCTTGTGGAGCTGACTGTCAGAGGACAGAGGCCACCGAGACTTTTCCCCACTGTGAACCCACCAGGCAATTCCTGCTCCTTGATCTGGCATAGCAGTGCAGTTCCCTTTGCCAAGACCACACCTTGGCTATGGTGTACAAATGAACTGAGCGTAGAAGACAAAGTTTGTTTCCAAAAGGAAATTTTATTCTCCACATACCCAACTAGCATGTATTTAAGAATGGTTTTATGTTTTAGACATTTAAGTTTGAACATAAAGTGGCCTTTGTTTTCTTAACTCATTTTGTTTTACCTTCCTTGACCCCAGTTTTTACGCAAGTCCCAGTTTACAACCCTGCTCAAAGCTGTAGAAGTCCCTTTGAAGGACAGTATATGATTCTAAAGGGTCATTGAGATGAGAAAAGAGATGAGGATAGCTAAAAGACCACCTAGAACAAAGCAAATTAATGTCAAGAATGATTTTGGGGTGTGCTAAATGGCACCACCAATGTTCACAACTTCCTGCTTAATAAAACTTTCACACTCAGCCAGATCTTTTGTTTGCTTGTTTGTTTTTGACAGAGTCTTGCTCTGTTGCCCAGGCTGGAGTGCAGTGGTGCAGTCTCGGCTCACTGCAAGCTCCGCCTCCAAGGTTCGAGTGATTCTCCTACCTCAGCCTCCCGAGTAGCTGGGATTACAGGCACCTGCCACCACACCCGGCTAATTTTTTGTATTTTTAGTAGAGATGGGGTTTCACCATGTTGGCCAGGCTGGTCTCGAACTCCTGACCTTGTGATCTGCCCGTCTCCGGCTCCCAAAGTGCTGGGATTACAGGCGTGAGCCACTACGCCCGGCTCAGCCAGATTTTTCAAGTTCCTCAAGGAGTACTTAAGTGAGAACCCACTGAAAACCTTATTAAAGACCAGAGAGATGACATTTATTGGCTCTCCATGGCCTACTCAGCCTGCAGTCTGTTGAGGGATACCTTGTATCAACTCCCTGGTATTCCCAGCATGCTGGGGAATGAGGCTCGGGGAGGGAAGAAAAGTCTTCATCCTTCCCCACTCTGGATTTTACTTTCAAAGCAAGAACATGCCCAGTCTGCAAATAGAAACATGATGTGATGTCTGGACCGCAGATCCAAATGTCAGGCAAGATGAGACTGAGGGTCACCGTCAGATGGGCTAACATGGTGGGGCGGGGCCGTGTTCTCTTCCCCCTGGGGCTGCTGCTGGCCCCTGTGGCCCCAGCAATGCCTTACTAACTCATGGTTTCAGTTCCCTTTGCCAAGACCACACCTTGGCTATGGTGTACAAATGAACTGAGCGTAGAAGACAAAGTTTGTTTCCAAAAGGAAATTTTATTCTCCACATACCCAACTAGCATGTATTTAAGAATGGTTTTATGTTTTAGACATTTAAGTTTGAACATAAAGTGGCCTTTGTTTTCTTAACTCATTTTGTTTTACCTTCCTTGACCCCAGTTTTTATGCAAGTCCCAGTTTACAACCCTGCTCAAAGCTGTAGAAGTCCCTTTGAAGGACAGTATATGATTCTAAAGGGTCATTGAGATGAGAAAAGAGATGAGGATAGCTAAAAGACCACCTAGAACAAAGCAAATTAATGTCAAGAATGATTTTGGGGTGTGCTAAATGGCACCACCAATGTTCACAACTTCCTGCTTAATAAAACTTTCACACTCAGCCAGATCTTTTGTTTGCTTGTTTGTTTTTGACAGAGTCTTGCTCTGTTGCCCAGGCTGGAGTGCAGTGGTGCTCACTGCAAGCTCCGCCTCCAAGGTTCGAGTGATTCTCCTGCCTCAGCCTCCCGAGTAGCTGGGATTACAGGCACCTGCCACCACACCCGGCTAATTTTTGTATTTTTAGTAGAAACAGGGTTTCACCATGTTCGCCAGGCTGGTTGTGACCTCCTGACCTCAGGTGATCCACCTGCCTCTGCCTCCCAAAGTGCTGGGATTACAGGTATGAGCCACCATGCCCAGCCTTGCTGATTTTTAATAGTTATGACTTTAAAAGGAAAAAACTAGAATATATTTAAATACAAATAAGACATCTGAATTATAACCATGTGGAGCAGAACTGTCCAACGACCTGGAACCTCTGTGCTGACTGTATTGTGGTAAGAAAAAAAGTCTATGTTCTGAAGATAAAGAGAGAAAGAAAGGAAGGAAGGGATGGAGGAAGGAGAAAAGGCAGATAACGTATATTTTTACAACCATGTGGCTTTGGATAAGATGATGAAGAGAGGGCTATATACAGGGGCGTGGGTGTGGTGGGGCTGCCGCCTGTAGTCCCAGCACTTTGGGTAAGGGCTGAGCAGGCTGATCACCGAGGTCAGGAGTTCCGAGACGAGCAACCACATGGTTAAACCCCATCTCTAAACAAAAAATAAAAATATTCTGTCGGCCACCAGTGGTGCATGCCTGTGTAGTCCAGGCTACTTTAGGAGCTGTGGCAGGAGAATCCACTTGAATCGGGAAGTGAAAGGTTGCATGAAGCGACTTGGCCCACTGCACTCAGCAGCTGGGCGACGAGTGATGAGACTCCATCTCAAAAAAAAGAAAAAAAAAGAGAATATACAAATAATAACATGTGATTATAAGTACGTGGGAAACTCATAGAATGTTTAATTTTCTTCTTTAGCTTTTTACATTTTGATATATTCTTATAATGTTCTAGTATCATTATTCTTTTTTTTTTTTTTTTTTTTGAGACAGAGCTTGCTCTGTCACCAGGCTGGAGTCTGGAGTGCAGTGTGGCACATCGCAGCTCATGCAAGACCTCTGCTTCCCGTATTCAATGATGATTCTCTCCTGCCTCAGCCTCCCGTAGTAAGCTGGGACTGGCAAGGATCCCACTATGCCCGGCTTAATCCTTTGTAATTTTTAGTAGAAAACAGTGGATTTGCAACATGTGGGCCAGGCTGGTCTCACCCCTGGCTCAAGTGAATTCAGCCCACCTCGGCCTCCCAAAAGGTTGGGATATTCAGGTGTTGAGCTAGCCACCACCCAAACCTGGATTTGACTCTAAACCAGCTGGAGGTGAATGTTATTTTATTATCCCATTTAGACAAAGGAAGTAACCCCTAAGTTCACCACATACGTTTTTTAAGAGGGTGGACTTTGACAACAAGCCACA